AAGTTCAAAAGGTCAATTTCATTTCCATGTACACTGCCCATAATGTATACTGCCCATAATAAAGGCTTGTGCACCCTATAATGTATGTCCAAAGGGGTGGGGTGGGGGCATAAGTGTTTCACAAACATCTCTTGTTAATAAAGAAGTACTTCAGGTTCAAATTTGAATAAATCATGACCCCCAGGTGTAGGGCTGAGCCACAACAGGGAATCAAAGTTATACAGAGGAATGTATAGGAAATATCTTTAAAAAAAATTTTCTTAAGAACACCAAAGCCATAACTAGTCATAATCATAAAGAAGCATTCTCAGGCAATGTAGATTCAAGATTGTTAAAATCATGACTCCCCAGGGTTAGGATGGGGTCACGATAGAAGATCAATCTTTTACATAGAAATATATACTAGGGATAAATCTTTAAAGTCCTGGGGGGGGGGGGGGGGTAGGTTGGGACAATTCATATATTTAAACTTTTCAGTACCATTCTGATTTCTGCTTTTCTGTACCAAAGTGTTCAGGTGAGCGAATAGGTCCATGGGCCTCTTTTTTTATGAATTAATTAGTTATTTTTTGCTTAGAACATATACATTTATAAGTTTTATTCCTCTAAGCCAAAAATTTGGAGGTATTATTTATTATTTACATGAGTCATAAGCTAAAGCAATCTTTTCTGATCAAAATTTGTATCTAGTGTAAATAATACCACTGAGTTAGAGAAGATCAAACTTGAAGAAAAAGTTTCTTACTGAATGTAGATTCCATTTAACTCATGGTCCCTGAGGCTAGGTTAAGACTAAATAGCAGGTTAAAGTTTTACTCAAAAATACATAAATCAGGTGAGCACTGTAGCCATTGGGACTCTTGTTCTTTTTTCATTTGTTAAACTTGGCCATGAACTGTATAAATAGTCATGCCATATTTGCTCAAAGTCAAGGTTTCAGGTCAAATTAAGGTCATACTTGGATGTTAAAGGTCTGGTCACCAAAAGGAATATGCAGGATGCAATGTTTATAAACATATGTTTGTAAATACATGTAACACATTTAAAGTTTCTTGTGCATGGGTAGAAATACTTGTATTAGTCTTAAATGGAGATGAATATATATAGAATTGGTTGAATGAAAACCTTTTCTTGCCCTATTTTCAGGACCGACCAGCATTCCAAAGAACCTGGAGAGATGGCTACTTTGTCTTTGTTATGAGGATTACAAATTCAGAAACTGCATTCCATGCAGAAGGTAAAATAAAGCATATTCCCAAATTAAATAGATAAATAGAAGACTGGGGTGATTGGGTAGATTCCTAACTTTGATCATAGATGTAGCAGAAAAGGATGAGAACTCTTGAGAGTTCCTTTTCATTTCTTATCTTGTTTGCTGCAAAGGACCCAGGGCCTAATCTGTCACATTTAGATAAATTTACACCTCAACTGCAAGTGATTTTTTTTTATCGAAGATTGGGGGCATATAGTTTTTGGTCCATCTGTTTGTCCACAAAAATTTTAACCCTATCCATAACTTTTTATTGGTTAGTGCTAGGGCTTTCATATTTCACCTGTGTATTCCTTCTTGATATTTACTGTAAAATCACATATTTTTCGTGGGGTCAAATTTTCATGGTTTGAGGAAAAAATATGGGTTCTTGGGGATTTAATTTCATGGATGAAGAATTGTTGAGTACTTATATGTATGAAGTTTCACATTTCGTGGTGGACATGGATTTGTGGGTCTCTTTATACATGTACCTCAAAAACAACAAAAATTAAACTGCCACAAAAATTGGTGATTTCACAGTACTTTGGAGTTTAACCCACTTTTGCAAATTTTTACCAAACTTTATTATAACATTTGAACTTCATATTTCACATGTATATTCTTTGTGAAGATACAAGCATTTCTGACCTTTTGATGTTGACCTTGGAGTTTAACCTAGGTACTTTTGAAAAACTTTAATCTTGCCCATGACTTTTAAATGGTTGGTGCTAGGGCTTTCATATTTCACCAATGTGATCCTTGGGACAAGACCTTTCTTTGGGCATCAACATATTTGAATTCTTGAACTTGTCTTTGGAGTTAGAGGTACATTTGAGAAACTTCAATTCTTGGCCGGATGAGCTGCCATATGGTGTTTCACAAACACATCAAGTTTTTTTTTGAAGTGAAGATCATGCTAAGGGGATATTTCCATTCACTGAAGATCATTGTATAATATGACTCTAAATCTCTTTAATAGTGGACGTGGAAATGTATGGAGAGTATGGATTCATTTCTGCTGTGGATATGCCCCTCCTAATTGTAAGCATGTTTTGGTACTTAAAAAATTGAAATTTTTAGCTCATATTTTATCGAAAGGAGAAATCTACTTGAAATAATTTTTTGAATGTTGATTAAATGTACACAATATGATTTCAGTTTTACGGAGTGATGGGAATTGTATACATAATCTTTGGACTAATGTGGTTAGTTCTGTTGGCCTGTAGTTGGAAGGATCTCTTGAGAATTCAGTTCTGGATTGGTGGAGTTATTGTCCTTGGTGAGTTTTCTAATATTATTATGGTTACAGTCAAAACTTGTCAGAATTCATATTATGTTCAGGACTTGCAACTCAAACATATTGTATCTGATATATCAGTGTTGGAGACACTGAATGTCAACTGTGTATTAACTGCTTTATGTTGTACATTGATTTTTATATTTTGTCGTTTTGCTAGGCATGCTGGAGAAGGCAGTCTTTTATGCTGAATATCTAAGTATCACCACTCAAGGCCATTCAGGTTTATCAGTTTTATAAGTGCAGGATCAAACATGCTTGATGATAATCTAGATTACAAAGCACCCAGAGGCTTATGTCTGGCCTTTAAGTCCCAACATTCAGATTATGTACTGTAGATTCCTAATTATATGCGAGGAATTAATTATCAGGTAATTTCTTGAGAAGCACCACTCACAAAAGAAAATTTACTCGCTTTTATTTTTATGGTGCTTTATTAGATCAATCAGTCATTCACGGATTATTCTTCTCTTGATTCGACGTCCTAGGGCCTTTTCGTGATATTAAGTACTCGCGTAAAACAAAGAATCTACAGTATTATAAAAGCAATACATGTATATGCTTATACACTATATTAATATTCACTTGAACACCTAGTGAGAGGAGCTGTGATCTTCGCTGAACTGGTTTCTTGCCTCAAAAGAGCCCTGGCCAGAATCCTAATCATTATTGTCAGCCTGGGATTTGGAATTGTCAAGTATGTCAGTTATTGTGTAGAAATGTTTTGCATTAACTAAATTCCTACAAGCAATATCAGAAGGTTGAGCGGTCTCTAAATTTAAGCTGTGAATCTTTGTATTTGAAAAACTGAATTGATAGTAAAATTTTGATTTTTAGACCTCGACTTGGTACCACTTTCCACAAAGTTGTAGCCATGGGAACCGTGTTCTTCATTTTAGCCTCAATAGAGGGTTGTATGAGGCAATTGAAGGTGAACTGAATATTCATGTATTACAATACAGATGGTTTGAAAAGGTTTAGGGGAAGGGAAATGAAAACCATTTCTGTACCTTTCATTGTGTGAAGAGTTTCTCAGAATTTGAATGTTCTAAACAAGCATTCTTTCTTTTTACAGCCTAAGGAAGATAATTCGACAGATACAATGTTAGCACTAGTGCCATTGGCTGTCACTGATGCCTCAATATGCTGGTGGATATCCTTTAAACCAACATTCACATTAAAAATCTAGTCATCTTATCAGTTACTTTGATAACTCATGTAGAATTTAAACAGTACGATAATGGTTTGACTTGTACAAAACAAAAGTAATAAATATAAATAATTTGTTTGGTTTGCCTTAACTGGAGCTCACATATTCTCCAGCCTTATACAAACTACCAGAACCCTGCGCTTGCGACGAAATGTTGTCAAGCTCTCACTGTATAGACATTTTACCAATACTCTTATTTTTGCTGTTCTAGGTAAGTGGAGTGACATTTCTTTCACTGGAGATAGTGTTGGTCTACTTTATAAAAAGGGTTCTTGTAACAAGTTTAAGTTCTCCAACACATTCCTTCATTACAAAACTTGCTTGAATTTACCCTTTCTTGGCTGTATTATGGAAAAAATCATCGTGCTCGATATACATGTACATGTTTTTACATAATAATCCATATGGTGGTCTTTACAATTCTTTGATGTTGACAAAAAATTTCTCCTTTTTTTCCAGCTTCAATTGCTTTTATGATCTGGTCATTTACACAGTATAGATTGAAGACATGCATAACAGTAAGTAATTTACATTGAATTTTACAGAAACTTCTGTGCCTCACAAATACAACAAAAGGAATTTACTTTTGTTGTCAGAAAAACAGAATATTGGGGGGAAAAAATCTTCATCACATATAATGTAGCATGTGTCTTTTATTCCATGGTTTATATGAGACTTGTCTTCTGTAGGACTGGAGAGAAATATGGGTAGATGAGGCTTTCTGGCACCTGTTGTTCTCTGTGATTTTGTGTGTGATTATGGTACTATGGAGACCCTCAGCTAACAATCAGAGGTAGAGTTTATCATTCCTTTGTAGTGTGTATTTACATGTATTATAGCATACAATTATTATAGAGGTGTGATCTGCATAAAGCATCAAGACAATGAAGTCTGTAGTGCATAATCTGCATAAAGTTGTTATTCATGAAGATGATTAATGACCATGTAGTGATTTATCCCAAGCACTTACACCATTTGTCTACCTGGGTAGATACAGCATGACCTTTATGTTTTTAATTCAATATGCTCAATACCTTACAATTTGCTTAACACCTACATGTATATATTTCTGGATAGATATGCATTCTCTCCCCTGTTGGATGCTGCTGATGAAGAAGAAGAGGAAAACTTGATGAATGATGCATTTGGTAAGGTTCAAATTTGCATTTTTTTCTTTCTTCTAAATTTCCCCATAGACAGAAGCAAAAAAACTCCAAAAAATTTACTTAATTTTTAAATACTTTCTCCAAGTGTTATAGTCAGGGTTTGTAATGATGATAAAAATGCTTGAATTTTGACCTAGTCCTTGAAAAGTGCTTAAAAATGCTTAAATAGCAACAAAAAAATAGATTTTGATCTTGAGCTGCTTTATATTCAAAATAGAAAAATACACCTGTAGGTAGAAAAAATATCATTGATTTATCTGTAAGTCATTACTAATGTGACCGAGTGATATAAAGACATAAATGATGTTTCCATTGTTAATTCACATAAAAAAGGTGATTCTATAAAGAAATATAAGTACATGTATATATACAATTTATGCATACATGTACATGTAGTAATGCATTTAATACATATGACAAGTAAATACATATTCCAACTATATTATAATCTTATTTATTTACTAAGAAAAATTGTAAAGTTATCAGCATATAATAAAATACCTTGTGCAAGGTGTTAAGGTCTTCAGTATGGAATTGCTGGATCCACAGTAATTTAAATTTGAGATTTGGCTCGCTTTTATTACTAAAGAAATGATCTGATTTGATAGTTCATTATGACAATAGCCAGTGAAAAGTCATAGCCAATAGTAAAGCAAAGAGAGTATTCACCAACTCAATCCACCTGCACACACAAACTAGCTTAATTTTTATTCTCAATGACATCGTTAATTTATTTGAATTTGAAACATTTATTTAAAAATTGCAATGAATATATTTCATATATATAAATCTGCCCACACTAATAAGAAATGTTGGAGAAAAAGTGAGCTAATGAGTAAAAAAATATCTGTTAAATACACACTGTATATTGTGTCTATTTTTTAGTCTAATTTAATCATTGTATTGTTCAAAAATCCTTAAAAGTGCTTGAAAAATGATGTTGGACTGTATAAACTCTGATAGTGCATGTCAAAAAGGGGAAGAGATTTAGAAAGAAAATTTTTCGATTGTCTTTCTTTTACATGTTTTATTTGTATAATTCTATGATGATAGATGGAATGAAAATGCGAGGAGTGAAGGGAGCAGCAAATGGATCACCTAAAAGTCGAAAAAGTGTGGTATGTAATGAAAAATGGAATCTTGATATATATATATTTTATACCCCCGTTCTGAAGGAGAGGGAGGTGTACTGTTTTACCCTTGTGTGTCTGTCTGTCCGTAACATTTTCTACAGTTTTCTCAGCAAATAATCTTCACAGATGCTTGAAATTTCAGCACACTCTTTGTTTTGGCATGCCATATGATTCATATTTGGGATTCATTTTTGTACGAATTCAATATCAACTTCCTGTTTATCCCTGTGTCTGTTTGTATCAAATTCTCAGCAACTACCATGTATACTCGCCTGTGAGTTGGGTCGACTGTAAGTCGGTCGTACATGTATATTTTCAGATTAGTTCGGAAGAATTATCCATTGACCCGCTTATACATGTATGTTGATGCAGTTTTTTGCTAAAATCTATAACCAATTTTACATTAATAATCTATTGAATTTACCAGTGTTTCAAAGAATATATTAAGTTAAGATATCAATATTTGATCTTTTATTGACTAAACAAATACAGGATCATTTAAATCTCTACGTACTTGTCTTTTGTCTATGTTGTAACCTTATAAGATCTTCATTTCCTGCATAAGATTAAGGAAGTTCCAATCTTTACAAATGGTTATCGTTGGAGTCGTTACACTATTACTATATTTTCTCTCCCAGAAAAATTCCAAATTTTCTATGACTCGCATAAAGTCGGACCTAGACTTTTGGTTAAAAATTTAGCACCCAAAAATCTGACTTAAAGTCGAGTATATCCAGGACTCAAGCCAGATGCTTGAAATTTTAGCACACTCTTGGTTAACATGTAGGTATACCATATGGTAGGATTCATTTTTATACAAATTTAATGCCAACTTCCTGTTTATCCCTGCACCCGTCTGTACCAAATTTCCATTGCAATTTTCTCTGCAACTACTCATGGCAGCTGAATAAAATTTTAGCAAACTCATTGTTTTTGCATGCCATATGGTGGGATTCACAGGGTTCTCCACATTTGAAAATTTAACCATGGAGGAAGCTGCGCGAAGGCGAAATGTGACCGAAAACACAAATGTGTGTTAGACTTTCTAACCTTCATTAATCAATGATTGGTTTCACAAAACTTAACCATTGCAACACAAAAAGTTGAGAAAAAAAAAATTTAAAAAAGTATAAATGAAAATTTAAAAAAAATTATGTATCTTACTTTACATATGTACCAAAATTGGTCCAAAACTCTAGGAAAGTTTTGAAGGAATTTCAAAAAAATATTTTGATAGAGTAACCATTGCAACATTATTCAAAAACTGATATGCAGAATTGATGTTACTTGTTGTATGAAACTTTATATTTATGTATGACTAAGACTGATGAATGAGTAGTATTGAATTTTGATAAAAAAGTTAACAGACACACAAACCAACAGACGAACGAACACCGACATCTAACAATGCTTTAGGCTTTTTCACTGCATGGTCTATGAAAACCTACTGACGGCATACATGGTAAAAGTATCATAACTTAATATATAAACCAGGAGCATAAATTGGACATAACTGTAATTTTTATACGCCCATCTTAAGACGGGACGTATTATGTTACAGCGTTCATGTCCGTCTGTTAGCTTTTTCGTGTCCGGTTCATAACTTTAATACTATTAGGCCTAGAGTTATCAAACTTTGTCAGCTGATGCATCTTTGGTAGAAGGTTTGTCGCGCATTAAAAGTAGGTTGCTCTGACCTTTAATTAAGATGCTATTGCCAAATATGGAAAAATCCTGTCCGGCTCATAACTAGAAAACTATTAGACTTAGAATCATCAAACTTGGCCAATTTATGCATCTTAGATAGAAGGTGTGTCGCGACCTATTTCAAGGTCACTGTGACCTTTAATTTAAGTGAAATTTAAAAAAAAAATGTCTTTTTACTATTAAATTACATAATCCCAAAAAATGTAAGAGTGTTGCAGTATCCATATTAAAAAAATGTTAAATCAAGAAAATACTTATTTTTTTCATTATATACTTTACAGCAATCTATAACAAATATAATGAGAGAAATTCCACCTCTCCCATGGGTTTAATTATCAAGCACTGGTCAAGTAGAATTTTGATAACAGAAAATTGCATGTCAAATTAGAGAGAAATTAATGAGTTTAGTGTGAGGAGCTAATTGGTAGAGCATCTCTGATCAGGCAGGTGTTATCTATATCTCTTGGGACTGGGCAAATGTTGGATTAAATACATGTAGTTCTTGTTCACAGGCTAGCCTAACTTTTAAAATGAATTTGGTGAAAAGTAGTTAAAACTAATTTGATATTGCATAATAAAATTTGTTGATATTTTATAATAAACTAATTAATTAAAACTTAAAACTAATTAAACGGGGGGGGGGGGGGGGGGGGGGGGGTAATATTGAAGTCAGCATGCCCGTTGTCCATATGATGGCAGCTTAAAACCAGCTAGTCTGACATTAAATCTTAAAAAATCAAGTGTTTAAAAAAAATGTTTTAATTATGGTAGATAGCCACTACAAATCTAAGAGTCATGCAGGAACCTTATTAATAATGTTGCTTCAAGATGACACAATTTTTTTTTTCTTTTTAGAAATCTTTGTAACAAATTTTTAAAAAATCTTTGTTTTCAAATTTAACTTCAGGATGACATAAATATGCATTTTTATTGCACTACAAAGCAAATAGTGCAGATCCATTCATCCCTTGGGAGTAATGAGTGGACATGCATCCAGTTAAAGATTAATTAATGAGTTCAATGTAGAAAGGCTAGCTGTCTCAATCATTTCTGTAAGAGCATCTCTGATCAAGCAGCTCTTATCTGTATCCTTTGGGAATTAGACAGAAGAACTGCTGGTCAGTTTATAGCATATGTCATTTGACTGCCAGCCTTTTTATTTTAAAAATTAATTTGGTATAGATTAAGTGGTTAAGACTAAATTGATACTGCTTAATATGATATTTTTATATTTTTTGAAAATATATAGAGCATCATGTCTCACAAATATGAAAGATGTGTGTGTGTGTGTGTGGAGGGGAGTGGCTGCAGATGGGCATTTGTCAAGCTCTAACACAACCAGTTGAGGATCTATAATGTAATATTTGTTAAAATTAATGCGTACACCACAGGAGATGTATAAACAAATATTATAAGGAATGGAAAAATCATGGAAGTCCTTGTACCGGTATCAAGGTTGACATGATTTGCTTGCACTCTAAACTGTTTTTGATAATTGAACAATATTTGACGGGCATATCATGCTGTGGCGGGGCACTTTATTCTTTCTCTGTTCTGTTTTTCAAACGTTCTTTTTTCTACATATTTCATTTTTCGCCTAGTTTCCTAAGCCATTGTTTACTTCTCCACGTGTCCCAGTGCTAAAAACAACGCCATGCGACATTTCATAAAAACGGGAGATAACTCTAAAACTAAGACGGTGATTTGCACTAATGTACATTTTATCAGAAATACTTAAAAACAGAGCGCGGGGAATTGATTAAATACAAAGGAATAGGAAATTGAAAGGGTTTATTTTTTTCTGGGCACAGAAACTTGAATCGGATGCTTGTCGATTATTATGTTGTTACTGCTTGATATGTCATCTTTTGTAAATCTGTTATCTTATGGTGAACACAATGGAATTCCCCAAAATTACATGTGTACCGAAAAATTAACTCCCAAGATATTGATCATCAGCTGATTGACTCTCCATTGTCATGCTTCACAGCATTGTCGCTGATCAACGTGTTTGTTTAGCACAGTCCGCTTTCTCTGGAGGCATGCGAGGTGCATGGCAGTCGTAGTATAAACACAATTAACTACTCAAGTCATTAAAAAGTAAGTGTCAATACTGAAATGCAATAAAAATGTAATCATGGCGGCTGCCAATTTTGACCATGGCGCAGCTCGTTTAACCATGGCCCACATAAACCGGGCCGCCATGGTAAAACCCCTTTTGGAGAACCCTGTAATTTCAATTTTGTACAAATCAGATGTCAACTTCCTGTTTATCCATGCTTCTGTTTGTACCAAATTTCCATCACAGTTGAATTTGTGTATACATGTATTTACATGAGAGCATATATTCACATCAGAGAGGGCGTATTACTAGTGAGCATTGGCTCATAAACTTCTTGTTTTTCCAGTTTGAAATTGATTTTTTTCACCAGTGTTTTAATTTACATGCATTGATTAAGCAAAAACACATATATTTTTAATGACTTTCAGACTTTAAAGACTCAAACAGTTTACTGTAAACAACTATTCGTGTAATCTCTTATTTGCGATTCGTCCGTTCAAATTAAATCTGCGAGGAGTAATGTTCACAACTGAGGAAACATTCTTCTCAAATACAAAGAAAAATAAATGGTTTTTGTGGCTATAGATATTTGTGAGTTAAAGTAGGTTGCAGAACTTGTGGATAATTCTTGCCCACGAAAAAAGGTTGGTTTACAGTAACCTGTATCATAAAATGTTTGTATAGATGTACTTATTTTCAGGATGAAGACTTGAAGTGGGTGGAAGAAAACATTCCAACATCACTCACTGACAAGTAAGCTTAGGAAGACTTCATAGGAGTGATTATAGTATCTTCTACTGAAGTTTAATCTGTATTATACATATAACTTGCCTATATTGTGGTGCTTAGAGAAATGCACCAACACTGCAGCTATAATGTGTTAATTAGTAGAATGCAGTTGCATTTTTTATTTTTTAAGGAATGAATTTAATAGCTACCAAAGATTCAGCATATGACCTGGGATGGGGCATTTTATGCTTTATAAATCATGAAAGGATTGGTTTTCTTTCTTTAAAAAAAAAAAAGAAGCATAACCTGTATTAACCCAGGTTATACATAACAAGTATATCTTGGATAACTATTAAATTTATTCTGTATGATTGAATTTTCTATCAATAAGTTAATAAGAATATAAAACAATTATCTTTAAAAATGACTTAAAGTTCTACAAATTTAGATGTGATTCATGTATTAATGCACATTGTGAAGTAGGCAACACAGATTATAGGATATAAACTAATTTTTCTATCCAAATTCCAATCAAACGTCAAAAAACGGAATTATTTTTTACATTAACAGAGCTCTTCCAAGTCTCCTAGATTCAGATGAGGAAATGATGACAACCAGATATGAAGTCAACAAGATGCAGTGATTATCTCTGCTGGAAATGTTTCATAATAAATATATAGATTTGTTATCCTCAATCTGATGATCTTGCATCACTATAGACTGTCTGAGTAGGGAACATGAGAGTTGTGAACTGATATTGCTTGACTATGACTGAAAGTTTAACTGTGATGTTGCTTGTGTAGAATGCTTTATCAGACAAAAGAAAATAAGAAAAGATGGTTTTGTATTTATAAATTAAGTTAATTCACTAGGAGTTGTTTATTGGAATGTTTGTTATTTCTGGTTTGTACATGCAACAAGGGATTTATGGTATAATTTTTTTGCAATCGGTGAGGTGTATGTTATCAGGGTGATAACTTGCACTTCTGCTATATATATTTACATTTATCATTTCATTCAAAGTTGGGTGTGATTTTATTTCTTCAAAATTCAACATTTTAATCTTGTATGTGATGTGATGCTTTATTCATTGCTTTGGAGAACAATTTTAGATTATTTGTAATGTAAGGTCTTGGATTGCCTGTGAAATTGCTTTTTTTGAAATGTAAATGAGAGTAATGGAATGAAATGAAACTTCTCTGTAAAACTTCTTGGTAATAATAGACATGTCCTGGATTCATCAATTTCATGAGAACTTTTCTTAGTATAGAGAAACTATGTAATAATGCGCAAAAATGAAAGTTCTTACAACTGAAATGTGAATTGCACAGTATTACATTTTTGAATTGAAAATTTAAATTTATTCCATAAGGAACATTTTTCAGAAACGACAAAAAAAGTAGTTCTGTCAATTTGTCAATGTCAGCATATCTAGTGATATAGGATATAATAACTGTAAAATTCGGAAATTTTTGTAAAAATAATGGTGTGCATGAAGATTATAAACTGTGTCTCTAAATGAAGAATTCTTATTGTGTTTGTTAAATGCCTTGTATATTAACACAATATCTTTTCTGCTTCTGCAGTGTTAAAATACTGTACGTGTACATAAATTGGCATATTCAAAATTTAGCACAATCACTTGGTATGGAGTTGTTGGCAAAATCATTATTTAGCGCTATACACGTCCATGCTGAATATTGTATTTATAAATGATTTCTTAGCAGTATCCATGAATTAGCGCATTTTGTCTTCGCCAAAGCCGCTAAAGTATGAAGCCCGCTTTTTTTAAGTACACATACAGTATTTAGAGGTACATTTCACCCTTTACTCTCAGAACATTTGATAGTACCATTCTGAGTGTAGTAGTGGGAAAAAAAGGAAACCTTTGACATCCAAAGAAATTGTTTATAGTGTGCAAAAATTTATAGAATAGGCACTCAAGTTCTTGAAAATGTAGTTGTTGAAATCATTGTTACCTTTATAAGATTTTCAGATTTCAATCAAAAATGTGTAATTGACCTATTCCAAGTGTAATTTTTTTGGTCTTGTGTATCTGGTAATGCTAAAATTACATATCAGTACAGGATGGGAATATTTATAATTTAGGTTTACCGTTACATTCTGGACATTACACAACTCATAACCTATGTATATTCATCTATGTTTAAATATGTTGCAGTATGGGGACCAGTTGCTCTGTGTGAATTTTTTAATGGCAGTGAATGTTAAAAGGTATGCCAGGTAGACTGGGAGGATATTCTGTGTATTTATTTACAAGTGCTTGTAATTTGTAGGTTGCATTCCATTATCTTCAATGATTTTTGACAGACATTATACATGTACTGCAATATGTATTAAAACTTTGAGTTGATATTGGTTAAATACTTGCACCTAAAATCTGTAATGCTATGACATGTAGTCGATCAGTTTGTAAATAAGTACATGTATTATAGCTTACTAGTATATAGAGTGGTGACGCAAATTCAGTTCCCTGTAATTGCCTATTTCATTAAGTTAAAAAGATGCACTTTTGTTAATAACCATTTATATTCAATAAGTATAAAGAATATACTTTTTGTGAATTCCATATGTATTTTCTTCTCATTTTTAAGTTCAATAAAGTATAACAAAATTTGGATATTGCATTTTTTTTTTAATAAAAACGTGTATATATATAAGGACTTGACTTGTTGCCTGTAGTTTAGATTGAGTTGGAATAATTTTTTTCTTTTATCAGATAATAGATAAAGCTATATTTGATAAGCAGTTTAGTTATCAGCAAAATCTGAATGTTAATATCCACAGTTTATTACACACAGTGAATACTAGTATTACATCAATAGACACACACACTGATCAAAGTAGGTTCTGCATTTTTAGCAAAATAAGATGAAAAATTTATTTAAAATGTTTCTAAAAATATCATTTGAAACCTACCTTAAATATTCCTAGCATACAATAACAAAATTTTCTTTAAAAAGAATATTTTGAAACAAAGTTTTGACCTATTAATTGAAGATGATGAATGATAATCTAAATCCCCTCCATCATAAAAATAGTCCTTTATAAACACATTCCTAGTCCATTTTTTGATAGAGTTGTACACTGTGGATTGATTAAATCAAATATGTTGTCAACATTAAATTGTAATTGAAATTTTTATATTGGAGGTTCTGATCAAACTTTTCTCGAAAACTGATGAGATACTTAGAGGTAGTGAATGAAAGTGGTCTACAGGTTTCTCTGATAACAATTTTTTTTAATTCTGAAAAAGCTTGATCAAGTAAGATGGATCAGGACTATAGTTTATAAGTCGAACAATGAAAAAATGTTTTTTTTAACACTCGAAAAATAAGGAAAACCAGTTAAAAGCATATAAGTTTGATAGAAAATCTCGAATAGTTTCTTTAAAACTGAGCTAAACACAAATTTTTTGTAAGTGAGGTCAAGGCCAAAGGAAAGGTCCAGGTCAAAAAATGTTGAATAGCTCTCATCATAATGTATCAGCATATGAAGTTCAGGCACGGATCCAGGAATTTTTTTCCAGGGGGGGGGGGTTCCATCCCAGCCAAAAATTTCTTGACAAGCAAAGAAAAAAAAAGTAAAATCGATTTTCCAAACGTGAAAACACCTATTTCATGGTGATGATGGTGTAGTCCACGTTTTCTGGGGGGGGGGGGGGGTCCAAAGTCATTTTTTATTTTTATTTTTTTAATTTGCTTCAGTATATACTTTTTATACCTCTGCAAATTCCAGGGGGTCCTGACCCCCCCCCCCCCCTCTAGATCCGCGCATGAAGTTTGATAAAAATATCTTGAATACTTTCTCTGTATAAACCGTATAAACGCAAAGTGTGACGGAAGGACAGACGGAAAGATGGAAGACGGACATGGCAGACTTTATTTATATGCCCCGGTCATATTCATGGCGGGGCATAAAAAATTATTAACCTTCTTTTCAAGGACAGCTAGACCAGGATGAATAAGTTTGATGTGCAAGCAAGAACTTCCGAGGGATGACCATTCATGTAAAAATGCAAGCATCCGTAGACTAGCAAATACTAGTTTGCTTAAATTATGACCCGGGCGGGGATAGGGTGTGGCCAAGATATGGGGTCAAAATATTTTATAGGAATATTGTATATAGAAAATAATGTTTTAAAAATCACTTTCTCAGGAACAGCAAGACAAATGTGACAGGTGAGCATTATGGCCCATGGGTCACATTATACGTTTAGTTTGTGCACCATGTACATATGTTTTTCACTATAATGTAATATAGTTAGAATACAACGAAAGAAATATTGCGTGCCTCAATAATTTTCAGCAAATAAATGTACGCCAAATTTCAGAATTGAACATATCAATTATTATTATATAGTCTATAAATAGCCCCTATATAATCTATACAAACGCAAACAGTTCATAACACTACATATTCACCGGATTTGCAGCCGTATTCACCGGAGGGTCAGTGCGCGTGCAGTGACATTGTGACGTCACAATCAATACTTCAAACAACGTTGAGCACAATGGTTGCAACGGTCGGAGCTAGCTGAATATTTGAGCAGGAAAATTTGTTTCGCAAGTCTATGGCAGGATTATTTTCTTAACATTTTGATGTCTTACACAGAGCGAAAGGAAAACACGGAAGATATAGGTTGTAATCTGGACATTTGATTATTTTTCTACGACAGAAGTTTGTTCATGAAAATGGAATTGTGAGGCAGCCTTCATTGTCTTATTCATTTAAATTCTGACTATATAATAAAACAATTATGGACTCTCGGTCAATATTGATATTTTTCTGGTGAATAACAAACCATATTCACCATCACAAGAGTCCATAATTGTATATTATTTGTTGACGGATTTTTCCGTTATTTCCCGATCATGACAAGGAGCACACGCCGTGTGTGACTGGTCGGCAGGGGATGCTCACTCCTCCATGGCACCTGATTCCACCTCTGATGTTTTTTGGAGGTCCGTGTTTGCCCTGTTCCCGATTTGTATTGTTTTTAATGGACTTTGAGCTTGAATACTGTTCGTTATCTCCATATTTCAATTGAATAGGTCTTGAACTGATGCGTAACACACATCAAATGAACCGATGTCTTCCAATGATTTATCTTAAATATTTGAGTTTAATTGGAATATGGTACTCCATATATTCAGTTACCTTTACAGCTACAATGTATATAAATTTGGGGGGGGGGGGGGGTCTCCTTTGCTTTCAAGGGCTTGGACCTTCTGCTTGAAAAAATATGCAAATATTTAAAGTTTTGTGCTTCTTTCTCTGTATCTTTTTTTCTTTCTTTGTCGCTTTTTAAAAATATTACTTTCTTTTTCGCTGTTCTTGTTTCTGTTTTTTTCTTCTAATTTTATTTATTTTTCAAATTTTATTAAAACAAAACTTAATTGCCAATGAGATGATTCAATTGAACATTTACAAATCACAATTTACCATGTAGCCCCCCCCCCCCCCCCTTGTTTATTTTGACAGTGATTGGCCAGTATCATGGCCGCTTTTGAGTTAAATGTGTAGATTTTTTCACACTAAGTAAACAGGGTGATATAACTGTAAATGCTTATCTCATCGCAAAAATAATGTAGAGTTTTTGTTTCAAGCTCCAGAAGGCATAGTATTACATTACTTTAGAACTCCAATTGCAAATTATCTTTGCTTGAACATACACCATATGGTTTTATCTAGTTTTCTTGTTTTCTTTACTTAGTCATTGCCAGATTGAAGTATGCACGATTGTGTATACCAAAACAAACTTTCAAAATGGAAGATCTTCGAGGGTTACGAGTAGATGTATTTACTTGGCTATATTGGTCAGTGCTAGTACACCGCCATTTGCCTCTATTACCATGCATGCTAAACAAGTATTTTTTGTATTATACAAAAAAATGTATAAATTGTTTATTCAATTGACTTAACAGTTATTATTTACAGATATTTGTTATAATGGGTATTTAGCAAAGGAGAATACTTTTCTCCGTAGAGTACAAATTTCCTTACAAGATCAATAGAACACTGCACATCACCTTAACCCAGTGGTATAGAATTTCACAAATCTGGTAAAAACATTTGCTCATTACAACTTTTATAGTACATGTACTCTGCCTTTTAGATGCCCAGGAGCAGAGGAGAGGACTTTCAAAGAATTAATGTAATTTCACAATATAATCAATAAAGTCCCACACTAACCTACGACCTAGGGGACATAATTCAACAATTTTGGAAGAGACACCCTTGTTTATCGTAACCAAGCATTTAATTAATCTGCTAAATACCAAGGGGCAGAGAGGAATGATTTCATTTAAATAATACATATTACATAATACAGAGCCCTGTCCTAATAACAGAATGCCTGACCCAAGGGCCCAGAATTTTCAAAAGTGTGAAAAAGGATCTTTTATTTATCATTACCATACATGCACTTAACTTGCCCAGGGGAAGCGAAGAATTTTTTTAAAAGAAAAAATGCATTTTCACTATATAAACAATAGAGTACCGTCCTAACACCGTACCCCTGGCCCAGGGGCCATGAAATCCACAATTTTAAAAGAAGCACCCTTGCTTATCATAACCGTGCTCTTAGTTTGTTGCTGTATAATACTCAGGAACAGAGAAGTTTTTCAAATAAATAATGCACTTTCACTATAAAATCAATAGAGCCACACCCTGACACCAGAACCCTTACCCAGAGGCTATACATTTCACAATTTTGGAAGAGGCACCCATGCTCAACATAACCATGCACTTAGTTTGTTTGTTAAATACCAATGGATAAAGAAAACGATTTTTAAGAAATCTGTACATTTTCACCACATTATCAATAGATCCTTACCATATCCCACAACGCCTTACCCAGGGGTCATGAATTTCACAAATTTGGAAGAGAAACCTTATCTTTATAAAATGAGCCCCCATATCGAAGAAATTGTATCCGTTTTCTTTTGATTGAACGCGTGTTGACGACTGACAGACATATCGACATTTAGGAAAATCATCACTGTAGGGGACAGAACCATGACAACGAAATAAATTAATGCTTTAGAGTCCAGAAATAGGTGCTGATGTGGGTGGGAATATTTTTCCCAAGATGAAAGCTTTCGTCCCTTGTAGAGATTATGTATATAGGTGTGGTACTTTTTTAGACATGGTTTTTCTTGTCTGAAAGTGTCAGACTCTTTATTGTACTAACTTTTTAAGTGTATTTAAAGTAGATTCAAAATTTTATTAATTTATTTTACATTTAAATACGGAAGACAAGCCCCTATGGTAATAATGTCACTGGAAAGGGAGTGTTTCTTAGCGCCTGGCCACCAATTACACAATTTAAAACCTGCTGAATTGCTTATCTAAAACCAGATATTATCAAGACTGCTTTCATTTCTCCTCAAACAGACTTTATGATTCAAAAGAAATAATGGGGACGGGGAATATTTTAAAATTATACGTAAGTGAGTAGTGAGCTCACAAAATGATACCCCCGCTCCTATATGAGTATAATTGGAAAGTCCATTTTTAGCCATAGGAAAGCTCAAATACCTGTCCGCTCAAAAAGTAAAGTAAGAGGTCACAATAGCACTATGTAATAAAGATTCTGTGAGTCTCATTAAATTTTATTCAGTGGTAAAGTAGGAGTTGCGGATAAGCAATGCCCCCCCCCCCCCGAAAATATAGGAAGAATGGCAGTGTTCATGTTTTGCTATGGGATATCTGAAATATGTGTCCGCTCAAAACAATGTTAAAAACAAAATAAATATTGTACAATGTTGTTCATTTTTTTACCGATTAAATTTGTTAGGATATAAGTTATCATTTCCTTTCTCATCAAAGTTTCCATTTCCTTTAATTTCCTTCCGTTTGCTTATTGTTATGATCTGGGATGTCACCAATTCAGATGACGCCTGAGTAGCTTAGTTGAATCTTATAATTTCATTTCATCCTCCATAAAGTCTATACGTCGTCAGAAATATGGATTTATTCATCTTATTAATTTTTTTCATTATAGGTAGGCATTGATAAAAGAACATTTATTTATGTATTTTTATTTTTCTCAACAGTTTAAGAAGAATCTCTTAAATATAGTGAAATATAAATTGTAGGTTGTGTCTCTCATTGCAAACCCAATAACCTGCATCACACAGAATGTACATCAATGGACAGTCTTAGTCGCTCTGAGAACTACCACAAGATAGAGTGTAGTCCTGATGAAAGGATTTACATAGCTCGACAAAATATGAGATATGGAGGAAGTGCACTCAGTTTTCTTCAAGTGGACGAAAAGTATTGCTTACAGTATGATAACATATCATCAAAAGAATGTTTGCGGTCAATTCCCGCCGATCTGGATGAAGATTTTACGTCATATTTCAATATATCTCAAAAGTGTAATCGCATGAGGATGTGCTCTCTGGCTTATATTGACTATTACAATTCAGTAATAAAATTTCTTGGGTCATGTGCACTCGGGGGAAGCAAGATTTTCCAAGAAGTTCGCAACATGGCATACTACGAATGTTAAGCAGGTAAGAGAATTTCCAATAAATTCTTTTTCAACTTTATTTTTTAGACAAATTCTTTTAAATTACCTCTGTTTTGATAAATTGCTATCATTCAAATCATAGCTAAAGATGTTATCCACGTCGGAAACAATATCACAGTCAGCAGACAAGGGACTGTGTATCTAGTAGTAAGTACAAAGCAAGGTGCCATGTAAAAGGAAAGATTAATGCATCACGAATCTTGGAGCAGACCCACGTAGAACTAAGGATTAGTCAAGGCAGCAACCAGATATGCACAGGTAACCCTGGTTCTTGGACACAACAAATCCAGTTAAGAGCTCTTTTTTAGTTTTTCATTTCCAAGAACTCACCATCTTCGTTCATATGACATATAGTATAAGCAATTTTTTTGTTTACCTCCCCCAATTTCAACTAAGTTTTTTCTGTTTCTCTCTATTGTTATATATATATATATTTTCTACTTTAGTATTTTCACATTGTACACTTTCGGGTTTCCATCACTGGCAAATGCATAAAAGGAATGATAAAGATGTATTTGTATTGTACAATTTTTTTTTGTCAAAACAAAATTGCTATTGATATTCTTAATCATGATACTCTAGGCAATGGTATTCGATGTTAGTAGAAAGTAAAAATTTTTTGATTAATAAAGGCATTTTTATTTTCTATATAAATTCACAATTTGTGCTGAAAAATTAATTTAAAAAGAACCATTATTAAGCAGATAATGTATTGTGAAGGGGACCAATGTTCTTGACCCCCAATTATTTGGGATCTGTAATCATCTTGAAGACTGACTAGAAATTTCCATCTTCTTCTGTTTGACCTTTCTTCTCATGTTATTTTCGTTATTTAATATTTTACCCACATGAGCAGCTTTACACATTTCAGCTGTATTTATTGGTTTATTGGATTCAATCTCGTTCTCTCCATGCAGAATACCATACCTAAGAATGATGTACATGTATACACGTAGATCTATTTTCAGCAACCTCAGTGCTTCTTCCTGTTCCAGACACCTGCTTTATATAATCAGTCCAAAGTTCTAAGAGATCTTTCTTTCATAATCGACTAGATTACATATAGGGTCAACTTGAAACATTTGATCGAGCTTTCTTTTCTGAATCCTGCTTGTTTTAGTGTGTGGTAAGGCGTCACTTTTCCTTCCTCATGCTTTAAAAATCCTGCATTTACTTATTCTACTCACATACGCAGTTTTTTTTTTCAATATATATGCTTATTCAGTAGTTCCGACATTGCATATCAAACTTGCTAAAGAAGTAGTCTAAATGAACTTAAAACTCTTTTTAATAGATGATAATAATTCCTAAATCAAACAAGCTAAAGAAATATTCCAAATGAACTTAAAACTGGCCTTTTTAAGTGATTCCTATTATTTAAAAGAGAATCACATTTTACTATCAGATCCCACCTCTGGAATTTCCAGGGCTCCGTGTTTATGCCTTGTTCACAGATTTGTATTGTTTGAAGTTTTTATGAGATCGATCACTGTTCGTTATCTTCACACTATCTCATTCCATGGTTTTAGAAATAATGCAAAATTAAGAAAACAAAAGAAGGAAACGCTAAACTACTAGAATAAAAATGAAGATACAAGACCCAAATCTTTTGTAATATCTCATTGTTTGTAAATTGCTCTAAAATATGTAGCAATTCTAAAAAATTGAAAATATAATGAAAATTGTCATTATTAAAACAGAATGGAGTGGTGCATTTCATTACAATAAAGATTTGGCCTGTTCAGAAGGACTAGATGACATTTTAATTGACCTGGATGTCCGGAAAACCGATGCATTAACAATTTTATGGATTGAGATAAAAGGTATATTTAAGGGTATCCGCTCCTCAGCAAGGGAGGATAAATCTTTATTTCATTATTTAATTCAAAAACTCTCAAAATGATGCTTAAAATTGGAATTGAAATCTTTTTATGCAACAACTTTCATTTCATGCATCTCTATGTGATTTCAATGTGATTCAAGGTTCTTTGAAGTCTTAGGAATGGTCTTTTAAAAATTGATATTTGTATGCCCAGAGGATTGTTTAAAAAATGCATATTTAAAGAAATTTAATTTCCTTTAATCTAGCTTTAAGGTGCTTGGACACAGATTTGAAGTTAATATTTTCTCAAATTTTTGGTATAATATCATGACCTATAATTTTTATAGCATTTCACATGGGAATAAAATAAAAAACTTATTTTATCTGGAAATTATTGAAACTACAAATTTCGGGACGCGTTTGATTGACACATCTATGCACTTTCACAAAGTGAACTTTATCCTTAATACTAAAGAAAAGTAGAAATTTTGTTGTGCATTAATAAAAAATATTAAACTATAATCCAGAAAATAAAGATTAGAAATGTGAGAAAGCAAAACCAACTCACCAGCATTGTCAGTCCGTGCTCAGTGATGTGTGAAGAGTTTTACAATTTGAACACACCTGTGAAACGTAAACTGTTTATGTAAACAGGGCACGAGCTCTGTTATTGTTAATGTTTACGTTTCACCGGGTTTGTTCAATTTGTTAAACTCTGCACACATCACTGAGCACGGACTGACAATATTGGTGAGTTGGTTTTGCTTTCTTACATTTCTACTCTGAATTTTCTGGATTATAGTTTGAATATATTTCATTAATACACAACAAAAATTTTACTTTTCTTAAGTATTAAGGAAAAAGTTTGCTTTATGAAAGTGCTAGGATGTATCAATCAAACGCGTCCCGAAATTTGTAGTTTCAATAATTTCCAGATAAAATCAGTTTTTTATTTTATTTCCGTTTGAAATGCTATAGCAAGGTATAAGTCATGATATTATAACGAAAACTTGAGAAAATATTAGCTTCAAATCTGTGTCCAAGCACCTTAAGATACCAATGCTTATAAGCAATATATGAAAATAGAAGTGATTTACGGCGTTTTGCAATGAAAGGAAACACTTAATATACCATGCATTATAAAATATTTGAAGTAAATAGAAGAAGCTAAAGTACCGTATATGTATAAAAATCGTGCGATTTTCTTTAAATGCCTGAATACCTATATTTTTTTATCCTAAAATACATTTGTTGATCAATATTCAAATAGAAAATCGATCCATAGTAGTTTTTTTTTTTTTTTAGATTTACGATTTTTCCCTTTATAATATGATTAACATCAATAATAAAGTTTGAAGAATTACCGTGGTAAAATACACATTACTTTGAGAATTCAGAGACATTTTTGTTAGCGTTTTTAATCATTTAATGCCTGATTTTCATGCAGAACTTGCAATATGAGTCTTAAATATTGTATATGTATATAAAATATGTAAATATACAGGGGATTATTTTCAAATAGACTGTAGGGAAGAACATTTTTCTGGCATGCCTCTACACCCCAACTCTGGCAACACTGATCAAAAGATGGAAGAAGAAAGTATCGTAGGGGGTAGGTTAAAACAGTTTTGTATGTGCTGGAGTGTAACCAGATGTAAATAAATCTAGAAAAAAATAATTAGGGTAAATATCTTCAGTTTAAGATTCACCGAGAGTAAATTTGTAAAATAGTTTCTGTGCAAATGTTAGTAAGAACGTAAAACAACGTAAACAACAACCTGTGAACGAAGCGACAGGAATGCAACGCGTTTTTGGTGATTTCTGCTCTGGTGCTTTATTTCATAAAACTAACAACAACACGCGGTATAATTCATGTCAGTCGATGTTTCTAACCTGATTTCTGGTCCGATTACCTTCTTAATCACCCTACTAGACGCTTAATTCTAACGTTAACGACATCTCGAAAAGAATCAGTAAATGAGACCGTACCACGTGACATTGCGAGCTACTTTTAGAACATAAAACAAATAGGATGAGTTCATCATACCTTGCGCCGGACAACTTCAATCAATAAACTTGCAACCAATCTGTATGACTTCGTGTTTTGACTTGTTTTTTCTTGTAACGTGTATGACTGGGTTCTTACAAGGGATATATATCTTGTTTTCCTCTTACTCTGTATCTGAGTTAATGATTGCAATGATTAATAGGACCGCTCTGTCTGAGGGTAAATCACACAGTATTAAATTTTTTTCTCTTCTCTAGAGACGGGAACTGGGTATGATTCTTGCACCATGTTTCTCCCCCTAGGTTCCTATTGATAGGAAAGAACTGGGTGTCTCAATCTTCAGATTTACTACACCCAGAACTTAACATCAATTCCCTAGGATTACTTGCCACTGGTGCTTCTGTTCTATTCTTACCCTTACTACTTCTTTAAGCATTTCACTACTTCTTCTGTCGGCTTCTGATTCAGCTGTCGGCTTCTTCCGCTAATTTCTGAATGTCTGACTGCTTCGCTTTATATACCCTTGGGCTAGTCTATGCCAAGGGAAGTCAGGTCATTCAATTATTTGAGGTCTTCAGTGCGTTTATATAAATGCCCCTTAACCATTATATTCTTAAAGCCAAAGTTTTCAAATTTTTAACGATGCCGATTTCTATTATCACGTGGTTATAAAAATACCACCAGAACGGCCTTGAAGTGACGTCATTTTTTTTTACATCATCAGAAGGTGAGTCAATAAAATTTTACGATTTTGTAATGTTTATAGTTTATTAGGCGTCATTGCCGACTCTGATGAATTTTGTTGATAATAGCTTATTTTATATAAAATTTCAAGAAATTTCATAAGAAAGTGAGTATTATTTTCTTTTTACAACCATGCATCGGACAGTGTCTGATGCAAGGTTAATTCTTTTTTTTCATATAGCCATAAATATATAAATAATCAAATGACAGTTGATATTGCAGAAAAAAAGATAAGCTCATTATCCTAGATTCATGCACAATATTATATGCATAATAATTATACTATGGGTTAAAAAAAATTATTACCGAATTAAGTGCCTGTGCTGAGAAGTGTGTTTAGTAATATGCGTGGAGATAGAGATGGCGACTAGCCGAGGAGTAAGATCACTACCCTCCACGAAAAATACATCTATAGATATAATTTAATTTTCGGTGACCCATGAAGTTAAAATTTGTCCACTTTGTGAGTAGAACACACATGTCCAAAGTTCCTTTTTTTTTTAAATTTTGGTTACCTTTCTTAACTTTTGCAAAAACATTGCCTAAATATATTACACGGACCATAAATTAAATACTTTAGTTGATGGAGGCTTCTAAACTGTGATGGTCCCTATTTAAAAATTCAAAGAATTTCTATAAAATTTAATACGCTCTCTTCTATTAATTGTGCTGTATTGTATGTCTTATTCCAAAAACAGTGTCCAAATATATATTTTCTTCATTTTTTTTTTTAATGATTTTATTAGTGTTTAAATCGTCAGAATCCAGGGGCTTCGCATCAGGGCGGCCCCCAGACCACCTGCCATTTTGAGCATGCACTTCATTTAATGCCTAGCTACGCCACTGAAAATTCTTTTTTTCAGATTCCAGGGGCTTCGCTTACGGGTGTCCCCCAAACCCCCTGAAATTTTGAGCATCCACTTCATTTTATGCCTAGCTGAATTTTCTGACACTGAAAATTCTTTTTTTCAGTTCCCAATTAAAAAACGTAATTAAGAAAAAAAAAGTTTATGCAAATGCAGTTGCCATACGTGAAGATAGGCAGACAAGACATTGCATGCAAGGCTTATCTTAGGCGAGGTGATGCTCTCAAGAACAGCTAATCCATGATTGGTCATATTTATATGGAATCAAGTTTGTTCAAATCATGACCCCCGGGGGTAGGGTGGGGCCTTAATAGAAAAATAGAAGATCAATCGTATAGGAACAATTCTTAAAAGAACTACTTAAGGCATGATTAGTTTAAGAAATAGGGAATCATCTTCAGGTATTGTAGATTAAAAAGTTTGTTCAAATCACTCCCCCTGACCACTTATATAGTTAAAATTTTCAATACTAAACTGATTTCTGCTTTTTCCTCAGGTGAGCGATGCGGCCCATGGGCCTTTTGTTTTTTTTAGATATGACCGTGATAAGGAAGGAAAGCTAAAACAGGGCTGTACAAGCTGCATTTTAGACATCTCATCTGCAGAATCTGGAAAAACATATGATCTGTAATCTTGATATATATATATATAATGTGATATGTAAAATTCAAGATTCAATTTATACCCATGTGTGTTAAAAGTTTTTAAAAAACATCCAATTAACTCTGTTCAATTATTCAGTTCAACAAAAAACATATAATATAGATTGTCACAGTGAATATTGAATTTCTGTTTTCATTTACACCATGCAATGCCAGGAATAGAGAAAATAGAACCAGGACCATCAAGAAGTGCAGAGATTACTCGATCCGGACCACCAGACAGGTAAATAAATATTCGCTAAGCATTTTATATTTTAATAAAATATCTCTGAGAGAGAGATTAAATTTAATGCAGTAGCTGTTGTACTTTGGTACTAGCTTGAAAATACGGATAAATATTTAATTGCTGTGGTTAAATTTAGGAATTTATTTCAAAATTAAGGATTATCTCCCTCATACATAGCTCTGATCCTTCGACGTATTTGGCTCCAGTCTTTGGCACCCCCCTTTTTTCAGCTCTTCAAAGTTCTTTTTTATTTAAATATTTCGGATTTCCAACGTTTCGGCGTGAGCATCACTCTGATCCTTCGACGTATTTGGCTCCAGTCTTCGACACACCCTTTTTTCAGCTCTTCGAAGTTTTTTATTTAAATATTTCGGCATGAACATCACTGAAGAGACATAATTTGTTGAAATGCGCATCTGGTGCATCAAAATTGGTAAATGACTACGTTTTACAAACATTTCAGAAACGTTTGGAATTTTCGACTTCAACAGGGATTTGCCTTTGCGTTAAAGGATTAGCGAGCATCATTATTGACATTGAGACTCCTGCAGACCTAGCTTCTATAATATTATGGATGGAAATTAAAGGCTTGTAATTGTTAATAACATGTACTAGTTTTAATTTTTTGAACCCAATTGTACATTTAAGAAATGTTTCCTCTCCCCTTTTGGACGCTCACTGCAGTTAATCTGTGGTGATAGCATGGATGTCGTGCAAATGGAGCCAAAACATTTAGAAACGGTGGAGCCAGAGGAGTCTCTCTCTATACCTATTATAGTAAGTCCATTTGTTGGAGCTCTTACGGTGGTTGCTGTTATAATATTCATCTTCAAAAGGTAGTTACTTTGGTTCTGTTAAAATTACTAGACAAAAAAAGCAAAAATAAATAAATAAATATTAGCACAAATAAGCATGGAAATGAAACACAGCAAAAAGGTAAAAAAAAAACCATCTAAATGAAATTGATTCTTCGTCCGAAAATTACTAAGTATATTTTTTTTACCAAAAAAAATCTCGGATTAACAAAGAAAAACAAGACGTAGATGTGCTTGTCAAACCACATCCATTGGTCTGAAACATGATGAGGTTTATCACAATGAAACCAATGTACCCGAAATCATAGAAGGACTCTACGATGTGATGGACAGTTTTTCCTGCTTATTTTCCAAACATACAATGTGTAGGCACTGAAGGTAGTGACAAAATAACAGGACGGAGTGCGTCTTTTCAGACAAAACCCCATCAATTAAGTCATAGGAAAGGTGACATGAGATTTCTGGAAGACAGCCGAATTGCTGATCTAAAGGGAGACATCTATACGACTGTTTTCATGGCATTAAAAGCAAAGTGAAAGTTTTAAGAATGTTTACGATCAGTTCCTGTTGATTTTGAGGAAAATTTTACAGCATATTTCATCGCTTTCAAGAAATGCAATCGAGGGAGGATGTGCATCCTGACTTTTAACGACTACTATAATTCAGTAAAAGAATTTCTTCGGTCATGTAGACTCGGGGGAAATACCATTTATCAAAATATGTTTACATCTTTGCAAACGATGAATATTTGTCCGGTAGGAAGATGAAAATATACAATAATTTCCTTTTGCAATTCTCCTTAAAATAAATAACTTTAATTCATTTAAAGCAAAAGCATTCATTCATATCGGAAACAATATAAAAGTCAAAAGACGATGGACTGTGTATCTAGTAGCCAGTAACAGGTCAGTTTGTCGTGTTAGAGAAAGATCCATGCATAGAGAATCTCACAAAAGAATCGTATAGAATTTAGGCTCTGACAGTAAATGGCAAAAACTGGATATGCACAGGTCACCTATTTCATGAGCACTTTACATGTAAACTCTGTATCATCTTTAAATACTACTTTAATTCACTTACATGTACCTCTTCGTACATAATGGTCCACATGTTCACAAAAAAAATTCTTTTACTATCTCTTCCTGTTCATAGCTGCAGTCTGAACGTCCTCCATTTATGCATATCTACGATTTTTTTTACCCTGTTGCTTATTAATTTTCATCCTCTTTTTCGTTCTGAAGATTTTGCTAACATTTATTGCAATCCTTTTCATGTTAAATTGCTAAATTGCGACCTCATCCTTAAATCATATCTTCTATATCTCTTCTTTCTCTACTGTCTTTTAAAGTGTGTCGCTTTATTTTTGTCCAATGTAATTTATAGTTATGCTTTCGCATATGTGTTGATTAGTGCCTTATTTTTCTTCTTCTCTCTATGTCTATAAAAAAAATTTGTAAAGGTTAATCTTATGGTTGTTTCGAATCTTTTTTTTTACTTCATACAGGTATGTTCTTTAATCTTTGGGAAATTTACGTTCATTTCCTGTCATTTTTTGTTTTGCTTCGTCTGTAATCTTGTCTGTCTTTTAGTGCAGCTTGTAAGCTTGTGACAGTAAAGGTCAAGCTTCTCTATTTTGAATGGCAATCCCAAAATTATTTCATCTCATTTGTCTAACAGGAAGGAACGGATCTGATATAATATTGAGCTTCTTTGAAAGTCTATTTTGATTGTGAACCATTAACTTGTTTATTCCTCCTGCACTTCATGGGGTTTCAAGGGTCTGATCTATCAACTAAATTGAATTTTTTCTCTAAATATGTGATTTCAAATGACATATAATAACGAATTCTACTTGATATTTATTTTATTAATTATATATAGAGGGTTAAGATGAATATAATTTGTAGAAGGAAATCTATCTTTAGCCGGCCATATTTCTCCTCATTTCCTTTTGTTTCTGGAGCCCCTGTATAAGTTTCTCTTGGTCACGGTTGAGTGTAAAACGTCCTGTAATACCATTGTAAAATAATTGGTACCGACAAAAAAATCTAATCCTTGCTTCTTCCAAGATTGAAGAAAAAGTTTTTAACAATTTAAAACCTGCTGAATTGCTTATCTAAACCAGATATTGACAAGACTACTTTCATTTCTTCTTAAGAAGACTTAATAATTTAAAAGAAATAATGGGGACGAGGGGTATTTTAAAATTAGACGTAAGTGAGCTGTGATATTACAAAATGATACTCCCGCTCTTACATGCGAATAATGGAAAAGTCCATTTTTTGCCATAGGAAAGCCCAAATACCCCTCCAATCAAAACATAAATTAGGAGGTGCACAATGGCACTATGTAATAAAGATTCTGTGAAAGACTAATTAAATTTTATTCAGTAGTATAGGAGGAGTTCCGGATAAAAAAGATCCTACTCCTTCGATAATTTAGAAAGATTGGCAGTGTCCATGTTTTGCTGTGGGAAACTTGAAATATGTGTCCGCTCAAAAAGTAAATTTGTAGCTCACAATGGCTCTATGTAATAAAGATTCTGTGAAAATCTCGTTAAAATTTACTCATTGATATAGGAGGAGTTGCGGATAAGAGAATGGGAAAAGCATAGAGACGGATGAACGGAAGGGCACCCTCCATTGCTATGCATCCCCGCTTTTCAAGCTGGGGTGTAAAAAGATAGAGATGTTAAAAGCAATATAAATGTTGTACAATGTTGTTCATTGTTTTTTTTTTTTTTAGGATTTTAAGTTATCATTTCCTTTCTCAGCAAAGTATCTCTTTCTTTTAATTTCCTTCCGTTTGCAATTATTGTTATAATCTGGCATGTCACCAGCTTAGTTGAATCTTATAATTTCATTTCATCCCCCAAAAAGTTTATACTTCGTCACGAATATGGATTTATTCGTCTGGATTATTTTCATTATAGGTAGGCATTGATAAAAGAACATTTATTTATGTATTTATTTTTATTTTTCTCAGCAGTTTAAGAAAAATCTTTAAAATATAGTGAAATATAAATTACAGGTTGTGTCTCTTATTGCAAACCCAATAACCAGCATCACACAGAATGTACACCAATGAACAGCCTTGATCGCTCTGATAACTACCACAAGATAGAGTGTAGTCTTGATGAAATTATTTACATAGCTCGACAAAATATGAGATATGGAGGAAGCACACTAAATCTTTATTATATGGACGAAAAGTATTGCTTACAGTATGATAACGTAACATCAAAAGAATGTTTGCTGTCAATTCCCGCTGATTTTGATGGAGATTTTACGTCATATTTCAATATATTTCAAAAGTGTAATCGGATGAGGATGTGCACTCTGACTTATGATGACTATTACTATTCAGTAATAAAATTTCTTGCGTCATGTGGACTCGGGGGAAACAGCATTTTTCAACAAGTTCGCAACATGGCAAACTACGAATGTTTAGCAAGTAAGAGAATTTCCATAATTTTTTTTTCGATTTGTTTTTTTTAAAGATGAAAGACTAATACTTTCTAATTATATCTGTTTTGATTAATTGCTTTCATTCAAATCATAGCTAAAGATGTTATTCACGTCGGAAACAATATCACAGTCAATGTGCAAGGGACTGTGTATCTAGTAGTGAGTACAAAGACAAGGTGCTTTGTAAAAGGAAAGATTAATGCATCACGAATCTTGGAGCAGACCAGTGTAGAATTGAGGATCAGTCATAGCAGCAACCAGATTTGCACAGGTAACCCTGGTTCTTAGAAACAACAATTCCAGTTTCCAAGAACCCTCACGTATACCTTACTTCTTCGTTCATATGACACAAAGTCTAAGCAATGTTTCGTTATCTGCCTCACCACCACCCCTACGAAACTCGACTAAGATCTCTCTGTCTCAATGTTCTCGACCATACTTAATGCTCTCGATCCCCAATTTCTGAAGAAAAAAATATGGAGACTTGGTAAATAGTTTGGTGGATTTTACTTGATGTTATTAAGGATCTGTAATCATCTTGAAATCTGGATTCTAATTTCCATTTTCTTCTGTTCGTCCTTCCTTCTTTTGTTATTTTCATTATTCAATACTAATATTTTACCCACATTGTGGATGAGCAGCTTTACACATTTCAGCTGTATTTATCGGTAACTATTCAATCAAGTCTTCTTCATGCAGAATAGCACACCTGAAAATGATGTACATAAATGTAGATCTTCTTTTTTTCAGCATCTTCAATGCTTCTTCGTGCTCCAGACACTCGGTATATGGGCGGTTATCTAATCAGCCCAACTCAGCTACGTTAAGGAAGACCTGAGTTCACTTTGTGATGCACCGTGTGTGAAGTTTCATTGTGACGTCATTAAAAATTTCACAAGCGACAAAAATCAATTTAACTACATGATAATGCGTAAATGGCAACTTGCATTCGTTTATTTTATCAATTATTTATAAAAGCATGTAAAATCACAACATTTGATAACAATACTGCCGAGTAATTAGAATCAAATCTTATGTCATAAATGACGTCACTAGCCTTGACTTGACGCAGTACAAGTGATCCAGAGGAGTGGATCCATTGGTTTAATAATTACAAAAATGCTTAAATAAATATGAAACCATCGCCAATTTTTAATCTAATCAATAAAATTGAAAGGAAATAATTTATTTAAGACAATTATGTAGATTATCAATTTATCTAGATGCTACGGAGCTGCACAACGACAGAGAATGTAAAGAATATCGCTAACACGAATATTGTATTCCTAATTAACCTCAAAAGTGCAAGGGCATAGACTAGACTGTTGGAGCTGAAATACGGAATATCAATTGCTTATATCATGTGTAACGTGTCCGAGCGTAAGTCTCTCAGTACAACAATTTTCTAATGCATGACAATACCCGAAAAGAGAAAACGGAAGTCGAGAATGAAGTTATAATAACTTTTAATAAAGACAAACCATATTATTTTTAAGTTACAGTCTTCCCCGCCCTGGGTGTATTGGGATTGGTAAGTGGGTAATGAAAAATAAAAAGGGGGGTGAAACTTATTAAATTCAAGTATGCTAATTTTATGAGAGGTTTTTGGAGGCTAAGGCTGGCACCCGAATATTTTCCTCCAACTTACTATTAAGCTGAGTAAGTGGTGCTCTCTCAAATCCCAATCCGCCGCAACTGCGCCAATGCACCTGTATATATAGGAATTTAACCGGAAATGCACAGTTACCAATGTAATCTCATGACGTAGAACACACATGACGTCAGTATTGGCAACTTCTCCAAACCGGAAACACTGCATCCCCAATTGAATTATATAGAGGAATTAAATAATGGATTTTACGTAATTATTTCGAGTGCCAGTAATTAAAAACAAGAAAAACAAGAATAAAGAAGGCTAATACTTCGACGGAGGTAGGTGGTGTTTATAATCATATGCGTAAAAGTTGTAATCGGCATGTTTTGTTAACACATGCAAATTCGTAAACAATAATGGCGGCCGCCATGGAATGACGATCTCGACCATGTGCTATTAAATTATAAGACGTGTTAATATCCACACGTGATCAATCCATAAGTAATATTGATCTGTCTTCAATACAGATAAAGTGCAGCACTTTGTAGATAAAATAATCTCAATAATATTCTCGTAATATCACTGCTGTACACTGCCATGTTAATATATCCTGGCGTTACCGGTTTTCGATAGTGTAAAACTTTAGTCACAAATTTAATCTGTGCATCTATGTTTTTCTCACCTTAACTATTTATGTATTATTAGTCAACAATACATAAATATATCTGACCTTAGTTTGTTTTTGAAATCATAAGAATTCCAGTTCTGTTTCAACTTTCTTTGGATCCGCCATAATCCGGGTTGTTTTTGAATGACGTCACCTATTTTCGATAGCAAGTATGGCGCACAGTAATTGGCATAAAAACATAAAATTGAATTAATATGTTGTGGTTTTTTGTTTTTGTTTTTTTTCTTTTGTTTGTTTATTTTTTTTTCAACGATCTTAACATAAATAAATAATAACCAAAACATTTAATAGAATTTTTTCAATTTTTTTTTTTTTTTTTTTTTTTTTTTTTTTTTTTTTTTTAATGAAATTGAAAGTTCAAGTCAGGAATCACTGACTGAAATAAGAATGTCAAACACAATGAGGGCATTTGATTTGTGTGTCTCTTCTGATTACTTTTTCCTTCACACAGTAGGACAGGTGCACCCAGTGTCCACATTGGCATTGTCCCCACCTAACAAACTCGATGGCTTAAACTTCAATTGTTCAGGCTCCAGTCTATCACAGACACAACACTTTTCCTCATCAGCTAATGACTCTTCATCTGACAAATCAACTGATGGACGTGAAGTATTTGAAACCTTGGACGGACCTGTTGTATCTTTAGAAGGACCTGCAATTTGGTTTTCCACTAGCTTTGCATTCCCTTTTCCTTTTCCCTTCCCTTTTCCTTTTGTTGAGTGTTCCGACTTTTCATTGTATGCCTGAATTTTATCAAATACATTCTTTTCTGTTATGGCTTTCCCTGCAATTATGGAACTAAGATTTCTTCTTGGTTTTTTTGCCTTCTCCACAGCTAAGAGTACCTCTCCACCACGCTTGTTGAAAAAGCTTTCAGCAGTAGAAGTAACTTTTTCATCAGAGATAACAGTAGCTGTTGTTGAAGTTTTGGTGGTGTCTACCTTGCCTTTGTATACAAGAGATGGTAAAGTCCTGCTTTCACTAATTGTTGATGAATTTAGAGGATAAATACCAGTTTTCCTGAAGGCTGATCTTAAATTCTGAGGACTAAGGGCAGTGTCGTAAACTTTGCATACAAGCCTGCACACGTCATACCTTGTCACTGAACGACCGACACTCTGTCGCATAAATTTATGAGCTTCTTGCTGATAAAGAGTCTCGAATGGACCAAAACAGCCAACGTCCATCGGCTGTAAAAGATGACTCGTGTGAGGAGGCAAGACAAAAAGAATGATGTTGTTTTCACGGGCCCACTGGATTAATGAAAGAGATGTATGGCTTCTGTGACCATCATACAAAAGCAAAATCGGCTGTCCGGGGTTCCCAGAGACATATCTGGTAAAATGATTCTTGACATAGTTATTGAAAATTTCAGTATTTGAATAGCCTGTGTCACTCATGGTCCCATCACAGCCAGTGGTGGCACCATCTAATAATCCAGGTAACAAACGTTTACCTGGAAACACCAGAAATGGAGGAATACTGCACCCCACAGCATTTCCACATCCAATAACAGTAATTGTTTGGGACCTCTCAGATGTTACAACTTGTGCTGCCATCCCTTTTGCTGCAACAATGTTTGGAGGCTTTGACCCACCTGTGTTTATTCCCTTTTCATCAACATTAAATATAAGTTGAGGCTTATCCCCCAGTCCATACCTGTCAATGATGATTTTTAGCTCTTCAAAGTACTTGCTAATACATTCCGGAGATGCGGCTTTTGCTCGTAGTTCTGACGACCCTGATGGTTTTACTGCATGAAGCTCAGGCCACCTCCTCATGAAGTTATAATACCACTTCATTGTTAAGTCTTTCCCCTTTTCCCTAATACAGAGATCTACAGCATAGTCAGAGGCAAGGTTCAGCACCTCTGCACGGGTATATCCATATCCTATCTCAGACATTTTCTTTACATGCTCCTCTATGTAAGATTCCTGTTCCAGAGTAAACAGTGGTGGGGGTCCTGATGATGCTACATCAATACTTATTCGTCCATCCACCCTGTCTCTTAAAGTTGTCAGGGGAACTTGAAACCGTTTGGCAGCACCATGAACACTCATCCCCCCTTTTACTGCTTGGAAAGCATTATCCAAAGCCTCTGGACTATAGTTCTTGTAATTTCCCCTTTGGATGGAAAATATCTACAAGGAAACAAACAATAAAGCAACAGAAACAAAATCTTAAAACATAGAAAAATCTCGAAATTTAAAGTAAAATACATGTAACGGGTTTCCATACTTTTTTTTTAAAGCGGAAGTTTGCTCAAAGTGAGGCTTATCTATTTTTAGACCATAACACAGAGCTTTTAAACAGACGACAACTAAGGGTGATCAGATGTTGTTTTCAGGCTTAAAAGATAGGGTATTTAGGTGGATTTTTTGCATTATGAGGAAAGGGCGTGATTTGAATAGATAAATAGAGAAATAATATCTTACCTCTCTAAATGGCATAATTTTCGATCTTTTAGGTTTTTTTTAACACTCTACGTCTGATGCTAATTTTAGGAGAAGCGTTCCGAAAAATGACGTCAGGGTTTCCGAATGGTTGTTAAAAAAAGTAGCCTATCGAAATTAGGATACTATCGAAAATAGGTAACGGCACAATATAAATTTGACAGGTGAACTGTCACATCATGTATATTTTAAAAAGTGCTGGGAGCTGATTCTGGTCGGCGTAACATTATTTTTATTCATGACAAAATTTAAGCGAAGTGGGAGTTTTTAGCTATTGTACGCATTTTCAGCAAAATTACGAGTATTTCCGATACAGTTCAAACTAGCTCCCAGCACTTTTCGGGTATCTGATGTAAATCTTTTTTAATGTGTAACAATTTTTTTCTCCAAAAACATGCGTATGCCCTTGCACTAGCGCATTCAGTTTAACAATTCTATTTTTATACCAGTCACGTGACACACAACTGATACTTGCGATGTAAATGGTACTGTTTGCGGACCCAAATCTATCCATTATGGATATCTATATTACTATT